GTAGAAAGTTTCTCCAAAGGGATAGTATCAGGCCAGGAGCGGTGGCACACACCTGTAATCCCAGCACTTTGGGAGGCCAACGTTGGGGGTGGATCATTTGAGGTCAGGAGTTAGAGACCAGCCTGGCCAGCATGGTGAAACCCCATCTCTACTATAAATATAAAAATTAGCCAGGCGTGGTGGCTCATACCTGCTAATCCCAGCTACTTGGGAGGCTGAGGCAGGAGAATCACTTGAACCCAGGAGGTGGAGGTTGCAGTGGGCTGAGGTCACACCACTGCACTCCAGCCTGGGCGACACAGTGAGACTCCATCTTAAAAATCAAACAAACAAACAAACAAAAAAACAAATGGATAGTAACCGAGAACTTCCCAAACCTAGAGAAAATTATCAACATTCAAGTATAATAAGGTTATAGAACACCAAGCAGATTTAATCCAAAGAAGACTACCCCAAGACATTTCATAATTAAACTCTAAAAGGTCAAGGATAAAGAAAGTATCCTAAAAGCAGCAAGAGAAGAGAAACAAATAACATCCAATGGAGCTCCAATACGTTCGTTCAGCAGCAGGCTTTTCAGCAGAAATCTTATAGGCCAGGAGAGAGTGGCATGACATATTTAAAATGCTGGAAAAAAAAAGAAGTTTTACCCTAGAATAGTATGTCTGGCAAAAAATATCTTTTAAACATGAAGGAGAAACAAAGATCTTCCCAAACAAAAACTAAGGAATTTCATCAATACCAGACTGTCCTACAAGAAATGCTAAAGGGAGTTATCCAATCTGAAAGAAAAGGATGTTAATGAGCAAGAAGAAATTATCCAAAAGTACAAAATTCATGGGTAATAGTAAGCGCACAGAGAAACAGAATAGCATAACACCGTCATCGTGGTGTGTGGACTTCTCTTGACTTAAATAGAAAGACTAAATTATGAACCAATCAAAAATAATAACTACAACAACTTTTTAAGACAGTACAATAAGACTAAAGAGAAAAAACAAAAAGTTAAAAAGTGGGAGGGATTACATCTAGAGTTTTTATTGGTTTTCATTTTGCAAGTTTGTTTATGCAATCAGTGTTACTATTATGCATTGCATGGCTCTACCAAAATATCTCATGTACCCCATAAATATATACACCTACTATGTACCCACAACATTTTTTTTTTTTTTTGAGACGAAGTCTCGCTCTGTTGCCCAGGCTGGAGTGCAGTGGCCAGATCTCAGCTCACTGCAAGCTCCGTCTCCCGGGTTTACGCCATTCTCCTGCCTCAGCCTCCCGAGTAGCTGAGACTACAGGTGCCCGCTACCTCGCCCGGCTAGTTTTTTGTATTTTTTTAGTAGAGACGAGGTTTCACCGTGTTAGCCAGGATGGTCTCGATCTCCTGACCTCGTGATCTGCCCGTCTCGGCCTCCCAAAGTGCTGGGATTACAGGCTTGAACCATTGCGCTCAGCCACAAAAATTTTTTTAATAAAATGTTTAAAAAATTTTTTAAAAGAAGCTCAATAAGTTTCAAGTAGGATAAACTCAAAGAGATCCATAGCAAGACACATTATCAAACTGTTGAAAGAATATGACAAGAAGAGAATCTTGAAAGAAGTAAGAGAGAAGTGATTCCTAAGGTTCAAGGGATCCCCAATATATTAACAGCAGAACTCTCATCAGAAATAATGGAGGCCAGAAGACAGTAGATTGACGTATTCAAAGTGTTCAGAGAAAACAACTGTAAAGCAAGAATCTTACAGCTAGTAGAGTTTAACAAAAACAGAATTCATTGCTAGCAAACCCACCTTATAAGAATACTTACGAAGTTCTTTAGACTGAAAGCAAATGACCCTAGAGAGTAATATGAATATACACACACACCCCCTGCCACACACACAGCCCACCACCACCAGTAAAGGTAATGATGTAATTATAAAAGACATTACAAATGCATATTTCTTTTCCCTTCTTCTCAACAGATTCAAAAAGAGATTATGTAAAACAATATGAATAGAATTATAATGTTTGGCCTATAGCATATAGAAATAAAATATATTGACCAATAACAACACAAAGAAGATGGGTGAGGGGTGAGGCCAGGCACAGTGGCTCACGTCTGTAATCCCAACACTTTGGGCGGCCAAGGTGGGTGGATCACGAGGTCAGGAGATCAAGACTATCCTGGCTAACATGGTGAAATGCCGTCTCTACCAAAAACACAAAAAATTATCTGGGTGTGGTGGCGAGCACCTGTAGTCCCAGCTACTTGGGAGGCTGAGGCAGGAGAATGGCCTGAACCCAAGAGGCAGAGCTTGCAGTGAGCTGAGATCACGCCACTGCACTCCAGCCTGGGCGACAGAGCCAGACTCCATCTCAAAAAAAAAAAGAAAAGAAAAGGAGGTGGGTAAGAGCAAAGCTTCATTGGGCTTAGGAAATGAATCCAAAGGAATAAATTAAGAGAACTATAAATGGGGGAAAAGAAGGCTAATGTAACAAAAGCCATAAATATATAATAGTTCTTTTTTCTTTAAGCGTCTTTAAAAGACATCATGTTGTAACTAATAACAGTGTTTTGAAAGTTTATAACATATATGTAAACATAAATATAATGTTATACTAGAAAACAATGCCACAAAAGTTGGGAGGAGGGAATTGGATTATAGGGGTAGAATTTCTATATTTCATTGGAATTAAGTTAGTACAAACTTGAAGTGTAGTCTGTTAAGATGTATGAGGACAACCCTATAGTAGTCACTAAGGAAATAACTCAAAAGTATGTAGTGAAAAAGTCATTAAAGAAATCAAAATGATACACTGGAAAACATGCAATGCAAAAGAAAGCTGTGAAGGAGCAACAGAGGAACAAAAAAGGCATTTAGAAACATTTGGAAAACAAAAAGAAAATGGTAAGTCCAACTTTATCAATAATAACACTAAATGTAGATGAATGAAACAATCCAATAAAAAAAAAAATAGGGATTGTCAGAATGGACAAAAAACCTGGATTCATGGTGCTGGACACAGTGGCTTATGCCTGTAATCCTAGCACTCTGGGAGGCTCAGGTGGGAGGCTTACTTGACCCCAGGAGTTTGAGACTGGCCAACACCGGCAACACAGTGAGACCCCATCTCTACAAAAACATTTAAAAATTATCCAGGTGTGGTGGCTTGTGCCTGTGCTCCCAGCTACTCAGGAGATTGAGGGAGGAGGATCACTTGAGCCCAGGAGGTCAAGGCTACAGTGTGCCATGATTGTGCCACTGCACTTCAGCCTGGGCGACAAAGTGAGACCCTATCTCAAAAAAAAGAAAGAAAGAAAATGAAGGTACACCAAACTTACGGGATGCAGTGAAAGCAAAGCTCAAACAGAAATTTATAGCAGCAAATGCTCACATTCTGAAGAAAGATCTCAAAATCATTGCCCTAATCTTTGGCCTTAAACCAGGAAAAGAAGAGTAAAGTCAACTTAAAGTAAGAAGAAAGAAGGAAATCATGATTAGAGTGGAATTTAATGAAATACAGAATATAAAAATAATAGAAAATCAATAAAACCAAAATTTGGGTCTTGCAAAAGATCAATGAAATTGACAAACCTTTAGTAAGATTGACCAAAAAAAGTGACATCTCAAGTTACTAGAATTAGAAATGAAATAGGAGATGTTATCACCAACATTATTGAAATAAAAAAGATTATGAAAGAGTATCACAAACAACTGTATGCTAATAAATTAATCAGATGAAAAAGACAAATATCTAGAAAACCACAGACTACCAAAACTGACTCAGCGAGAAATAGAAAATCTGAACAGACCTATAAAAAGTAAAGAGTAATCAGAATTGCCCACTAGACAAACATCAGATCCAGATAGCTTTACAGGTAATTTACCAAAATTTAAATAAGAGTTCATATCAATTCTTCATAACCACTTCAAAAAGAAAGAAGTGTTTCTATAAGGCTACCATTATCCTGATACCAAAATCAGACAGACAGCAGAAGGAAAGAAGAAAACTGCAGACAAATATCTCATAAATACAGACATCAAAGTCTTCAACAAAATACTAGCAAAATGTCTTAGGCCATTTGCACTGCTATAAACAAAATACTTGAGACTGGGTAATTTATAAAGAACAGGAATTTATTTCTCACAGTTCTGGAGGCTAGAAGTCTAAAATAAAGGTCCCTGCAGGTTAGGTGTCTGGGGAGGGCCTGGTCTCTCTGCTTGCAAGATAGTGCTTCATTGCTGCATCCTCCAAAGGAGGGGAACGCTGTGTCCTCACATGGAGGAAGGGCCAAAGGACAAAAAGGGGCGTTAGCTCATTCCCTCCAGCCCTTTCATAAGGCACTGATCTATTCATGAGGGCTCCATCCTCATGATCAGTTTCCAAAAGGTCCCGCCACTTAATACCACCACAATGGAGATTAAATTTCAGAATGAAATTTGAAGCACCTAGCTGGGACCACAGGCATGCACTACCACGAATGACTGCTTAAAAAAAAAAAAAAATTGTAGAGACAGGGTCTCACTTTGTTGCCCAGACTGGTCTCAAACTCCTAGACTCAAGAGATCCTCCAGCCTTGGCCTCCCAAAGTACTGGGACTGCAGGCATGAGTCACCACAACTGGCCCAAATTATAGACTTAAAAATAGTCAAAATGGTAAAGTTTATATTACATAAATTTTACCACAATAAAAAAAAAGGGATAATGGCAGATAGCAATAGCACTGCACACTAACAACACGCCCACCATGACAAAAGAAACCCACATGCGCCATGTGACTAAGGAGCCAGACAACAGGGCTATGAGCTAAAACATCAGAGTACTGACAGTTTAAGGAAGAGCTTACAGAAGAGCTTCTTTTTTCCCATACAAAGAAAATTCCTTGAAAAAGAGGAAAAGAAAGAAACTTACTTCTTACATATACAAATAAATTAAAATGATGAGAAAATGAAATGTTCTTCCAGAGAAAGAGTGAATTCCCTCCTGACCAGAAGAAAGGGCATCTCCCCCTTACCTCTTCCTGGGCTGATGGCTGTGAGGAGCGGTTTATGGTCACTCATTTTCTCCTGCCTCTGCTTTTGAGAGGCTATTTCCAGTTCCTTTTTTGCTAGCAGCTTGCCGGATGGGTAGAACAGGCCAACAGTCTGTGTGCCTATGTCCCTCTTAGTCCCAGAATCAGATCTGGGCAAAGGATTATTCAGGGACTGCCAGGCACATTGGGGCTATAAGTGAGGCAGAAAACATTTTTTAAATTAGAATATGATTTAATCAATCTTGCATTTACTTATAGAAAACATTTTTAATCAGAATAAAAAGTATCTCAAAAAAAACTGTACGTTGAACTAAAAGGGTTTTCCAGTCTTTGGCTCATCTTCCTTGCTCCTGTCTTTCCCAGCAACTTCCAGCCTGATCCATGATTAGCCATTTATTACCTAAAATTCAACAAATCCAGGGGTGTTCGCTGGCCTGCTTGATGCCTGGAAGATATCTATCCTTTTCAGCTCTATAACGCAATAGAGCGTAGACTTCACTACTCATCCACACTTGGCCACTGGTCACCAACATTTTCTCTAACATACTCTCCTGGGGACCTGAGAGGACTACCATGAAAGGTTGTGCACTGCACAACGCCACTGCATTCAAAGTAGTACCATTCACATGGTGAACATTTGAATATTAGGATAATTTTTCTAGTAGAAAAACCAGCATATTACAAGCAATTTCCAATAGATGGCAGTCAAGTGTCTTGAGAAAAGAACACCTTTGTTTCATTTGCACAAAGGAGTAAGGGCTAGTGGCAGTCTAGGATTTAAATCTTTCAAACTAGGTTAAGAAAACCATGAACGGCTGGGTGCGGTGGCTCATGCCTGTAATCTCAGCACTTTGGGAGGCCGAGGTGGGTGGATCACGAGGTCAGGAGTTCGAGATCAGCCCAACCAACATGGTGAAACCCCATCTCTACTAAAAATACAAAAATTAGTAGGGCATGGTGGCATGCGCCTGTAATCCTAGCTACTCAGGAGACTGAGGCAACAGAATCGCTTGAACCTGGGAGGCGGAGGTTGCAGTGAGCCAAAATTGCACCACTGCACTCCAGCCTGAGCAACAGAGCAAGACTCCATCTCACAAAAGAAAGTCATGAACTCCCTAAAACTGCATACAAAGTGCTGAGTGCATCCTCTAATAATTATCAGTCTTTAACTTCTTATAATAAAGAGATAAGAGGAAACATGAAAAGTCTTTATCCAGCTTAGAGAAATTTATAAAATAATTATAAAAATCTAACACAAAGCCAATTGTTAGAGCTTAAGTACTTCTGAAAATAACCTGGTGAGATTTTCCTCAAACTATGCCCAGCTGTTATAAATTACAAAAGCAATCTTATATACCTACATTTTCTAAAATATAAACAAGGGGAAGGAAAAGTTCTCAGAATGCTACATAAGAAATTCAAGAGAAGTGCATTCTATCTCATGTGTTTTAAAGCCACTAAAGTGGCATTATGTCCACAAATGCAATGGCATAGACCTCAGTTTACTACACATAAATATGCTCACTTAGATCTTTGATTTCTGAAGAAATCATTTGAGTGTTTAAAATCTAAATTGACTGCATTTATTTACACACCTAGTTGAAATTCCACGTGAAAGTTCTAAAAGTTTTGGGTCTCTTCCCCGGGTTGATTTACAGGGTAGAGCACACACATTCAGAGCTACAGCCTCTTCCCGGGTACCAGTTCTTACTACAGGGGAGGCCTCACCTCAGAAAAAGGGCGAGGTTCCTGAGCAGCTAGAGCCAGGCTTCTGTCCAAGCTAAGCTTCACGAAGGACTTCACACAAATACCACAGGAGCCACAGAATCGGGCAGACAGGTGATTGCTGGCCCCACATTTAGGGCAAACAGAGCAGCCAGCAGGAATGCCAAGCTAGAGGATAGAAAATATCTTGATGAATATTAGAGTTATAATTTCCCCATGTAAATTATTGTCATACCATACAAATTAACATATGCCCACACTCTCTGACCCAGCCATTCTACCTTCCAGAATTTATCCTACAGATGGTCAAGTACAGAAAGAAGTGTACTTCAGGTCAACCCCTAAAGCATTGTGGTTTTAAAAGAAATCACTGAAAACAACAGGCATGTCCAGCAATAGGGATGGTCTAAATATATTACAGTACATACATACAAACAATGGATTATGAAGCCACTGAAAAGAATGAGGAGGTTACTAACAAGACATATTGCTAGGTGAAAATAATTGGATCAGTGTTCATAGCACCAGTTTACTTATACATGCCTTGAATAGCTGAAAGAACATCTCAAGAACTGGATATAAGCAATTGCTTCTGAGAGGAGAACTGTGGGACTTAGAAAGGAGATTAACCCTTCACTCTAAAACTTTCTTATTATTTGCATGTGATACTTAGATAAATGAATAAATACATAGTCTTGAGTGTTTTATTATAGAGGCAAGCAGACAGAATTCATTTTTTAAAATGCCAGCAGTCAATAAATTAGTGAAAAGGTTTAACCTCAAAGAAAAGGAAATCAAAACCGTCACCAGAGATGGCTCTCAATGTAAGATAATTAATTATCCCTATCTCCAGATTCTTAGGTTATAGGTACCAGTGGCAAAATCACAAGAAGTGATTTCTGCAAGGCCATGGGAGAAGTGCCTGGCTCTCTCCAGGTGCTCAGTACACAGAATCTGCTTTAAAATACCCACCATGGCTCCACACCAGCCGCAGAAGGACGCCTCCCAGAGATTCCAACGACCACATCTGGAGCAGGAGATGGTCCCCCCTTTCTGAGTGGGCGGAGGACTGGCTTTATCCCCACTGCATATCGACTGGTGAATGAAACGGCATTTAAAGGCAGGATCAATACTATATTCTCTAATCCCCCTCCCAATTCAAAAAAGATAAAAAGCCCCCAGACAATATGAGCCCTGGATTTACATTTTTTTTTTTTTTTTTTTTTTTTTTTGCCCAAAGGAGTACAGCTATGATAGGTTTCACCAGTTAATAAATTAGTACACAGAGCACACATTCCTTCATGGAGATCACAGAAAGTCAATGAAACTGATGCCTTGCACATCTTAATATTTCTCAATATCAGGGATTGTTGGGGTTTGCATGTTTCCTAGACAAAGGAATGAACACACAAGACTAGACAAACGAGGCAGCCGCCCCGAACGGCACACTCTGATTTATTTTATACAGTCGTTTGTGGAATGTTGCCAAGTCACAAGACACATGTTGTTTTTCTGACCTTTCCCTGACTTTCTGGTTTTTCAAGATGTTTACACATAAACCAGTCCCCAGGGTCTGCTGTTTGCAGCTGACTCCTTTGTCCTCCCTGTTTGCAGGGAAGGAACGTCCTGCTTTGTTTGCAAGAGCAGGACTTATTGGGAACATCTCATTTGCGAGCACGTAGTCCTCTACATTTCCCCTTTCTTTATTTACAAGTTTGAATTTCTTTCAAAACCATCATCACATGTTGAGCTCGCTGGGATTCGGTGTTTGCCCTTTGGCACCGTCTCCAGCAGACTGTGAAAATGACAAAGGCAAGAACAACAATCAATACATTACTAGAAACAGAAGTCAGTAAAGTTTTTACAGGGCTCATAGGGTTTAAAGACGTCAAGCTTTTTGCAATACCAGTCATCAGATCTGCTCCGGTCAGCAACGGTAACTGATTGTGAAATGTTTCAGAAATGTTTTGTGTTAATTCTTGTATTTCTAAGGAAAGATTATTATGGCCAATTAAAAGTCTCTTTATCTCAGTCCAATTATGTACAGTGCTGTTAAAAGGAACAGGAGTAATACAAAATTGGGTAGTATTCCAATCACATTTTAACAAAACTCGAGTATTCAACACTGGTAGCTGATCTCCTAACCAAGAAACCAATTGCTCCAAATTATCCACTCGTTCCGTCAAATGAGCATCTATGTCTCATTGCTGCTGCCACAACAAATGAAATTGTTCATGCCATTGTTGCACAAATTCTGCATTTTGTATACTCTGGGGTAGAGCTAATCCAGCAACAGCGGCAGTGGAAGCAATTGCTACAAGTCCCACCATTGCTGCTTCGACGACCCCAACCATTACCCGGCTGTGGTGGACAAGATCTTGCATTACTTTGTAAATTTGAGTAACCCCAGCAGATTCACTCCAGGCATGTGTTAAGTTCACGGGTAGCCAGGTTTCTTTTCTGGCTCTTAGTATATATAAATCGGAATGAGACTCATTCCAATTATTATTCCACCAAGTAGTATTTATACAACTTAAGAATGTACCATTTTTTGTACAGTTAACTACCCCTGTATTATTATCCTATTTAATAATTCCTATCAACAAGAAGTAAGTCTTTCTTACACATGCAATAACATATCTAGAACTATTTTGATGCAAAGATATATGGAAAGGGTTAGCAATATTAGTAAGATTTAAGGACATGTTTCCTGTGAAAGTGAACATTTTCATGGTTTACCAGCAGCTAGCAACTTCCAAATATGACTTTGTATTTGTGAGGTATTAGCCAAATGTGGCATAGGGGGTGATAGACCACCATCATGCCCAATAATAGTTTCATTGCCATCCACAGAAATGCTGTGATTACCTTTATGCCAACGCAGGTTGACATGGCTGAATTTAGTTTGAAAATCTCCATGTACACTCCAATCTATAACAAGGTATTTACGACTCTTCCCTTTTACTTCTAACAACAATCGTGGCCCACTACCTCTACATCTAGTCCACTCTAGTTGGGAAACACCTCCGGACACATCAGGGATAGGGCATAAAGATAATGTACTTGGCAGAGTTTCATTAAGTAATGCAGTATGATTATACTTAAAACTTTGAGCCACAATAATCATAGTAAAGGCAGATATATGACTATGGTTATAGCGAACAGCCCAAGCCTCATGAGAAGGATGCAGACAATGTGGGCTACTCCCAAGACATATGGGTAACCCTTCAACCCCAAATGGGTATGAATTATTTACTGTGCCAGTGTCTAGTTCAGGATCCTGGTTTAAAAAAGGTGATGGCATCCAAGCAGTATCATTAGTAAATACTGGGACTTCTTTGTCTCCCCAGGCCACACCTTGATATAAGGGTGGAAAGGGAATATAAGCACAGTATGTAAATTCTCCAGTCATTACCTGGCAATTCACTACAGCCAGCATAGCCAGGAATAAAGTCAGTGGGGTTTTGGGCTGCCCGGCTTGTTGAACAACCCCTTCAGCTTCCTGAGTAAGCTTTTTCAGTCGACCCCATGTCGGGGGCTCCACATGTCGAGTCCCGAAGGTGAATGTTCTCTGAGCACTCAGATTCAGCTCCTGAAATTCCTTGAGGAACTCTTCAGATCGACTCCTCTTCGCCATGGCACTGTTTCAACCGTCGAGATGGAAACCACTCGTCTCCGGCACCTGTACGGACAACAGCATAGCCTCGGCCCCACTGTAAAACTTTTCCTTTTAAATATTGCCCTTGTAATGAAGGATAATACACCCACAGATTACTGTTTTGCAGCTTTTCTAAAGGCTGTTGAAAATGTTTCACCACTGCCGACTGCTGTAATTGGCACCAATGGTTGAGAAAATTTAAAGTAAAAAGGGCTTTCAGAATTTGATGTTTTGGGGAATCTCGCCCATTTCCCCCTGTTTGTTTTGAAAGTTGTAATTTTAAAGTAGCATTGGCTCTTTCAATAATTGCTTGGCCTTGACTGTTAAATGGAATACCGGTGGAATGGTGAATATGATATAAAGAAAGGAAGGCAGCCAATTTACGAGAGTGATAAGCAGGGGCATTATCAGTTTTTAATTCAGCAGGAACTCCCATAACCGCAAAGCAAGTAAGTAAATGAGTGATAACAGAGTCAGCCTTTTCGGAGGGTAATGGTGTAGCCCATTGGAAATGTGACCAGATATCAACTGTATGACGAACATATTTTAGATGACCAAAAGAAGAGACATAAGTGACATCCATTTGCCAAATGTGATTTTGTTGAGTGCCTCGAGGATTAGTACCTGGACTTAGAAAAGGTGCAATAATAGGAGCACAAGATGGACAGGCCCTGACAATAGCTCGGGCTTGTCGACATGTTATAGAAAACTGCCGTTGTAATCCTAAACTATTAGTACGATGCAATTGGTGCTCATCCTGAGCACGTTGGACACTGCCGATAAGTAAGGAATCAATTTGACTATTGCCAAAAGTCAAAGGTCCTGGCAAGGTAGAGTGAGAACGAATATGAGTGATAAAAAGGGGGGCAGTGTGAGAAGTAAGAGCCATAAATAATAAAGAAAATAATTTTTATAAAGGAGTTTTGGGAAATAATGGCAAAGAAGTTTGAGAAATATATTTAGTTACGTATACAGCATATTGAGAATCACTAACTGTATTACAAGGGGTTCGAAGCCAGTCCTGCAGTACCATAAGAATGGCAAAATGTTCTCCCTGTTGCACTGATTCAAATGGATAGTGAGAAATTTTAAAGTTATCCTGAGTCCAATATCCAGCTTTTCCGTTACTAGATGCGTCAGTGAAAAAGGTGGGACCTTTAACTGGGGTGTAAGAGATGGGATTATATGGCAATAAAGGATATTGTTGTAGAAAAGCAAATAATTTATTGCTAGGGTAGTGCTGAGAAAAAGAGCCAGTATACTCAGCGCAAACCACTTGCCAACCTTCATGAGTTTCCAATAGAGACTCAATGTATTGATTAGATAATCAAGTAATAATTTTAATAGGGTCAGTACCAAGCAATTGACGAACTCGATGTCGTCCTTTGATAATTAATTCAGCCAATTTATCAATGTATGGGTGAATTTTTTAATGGTTTTATTAGCCAAAAATAGCCACTCCAGAATGTTATTATCTTGATGTAAAATGGCCATTGGCGAGTGAGGAGTATGAAAAAGACATAAAGAGAGTGGAAGATTGGGTGCAATATAATTAAGTTGAGCTTCACTAATTCTATTTTCTACAAACGACAACTCTTCTTCTGCTGCAGGGGATAGTTGACGGCAACTATTTAAATCTGAATCTCCTTCTAAGGTAGCAAATAAATGTTGCAATTTGTAAGTAGGTATGCCTAAGATGGGGCGAAGCCAATTTATGTCTCCTAGCAATTTTTGAAAATCATTAAGAGTCAAAAGTTGATCTCTTCGAATTTGAATTTTTTGTGGCCGAATCTGCTTTTCTGCTAAAAGGTATCCTGAATATTGAATGGGAAATTGAGTTTGTATTTTCTCAGGAGAAATTTGTAAATTATATTGAGTTAATTGCTGTTGTAAAGCATGAAAAACTTGACTTTGCAGGACTTCATCTGGAGTTGCTAATAGAATATCATCCATATAATGATATATCAATACAGTAGGAAATTGACATCTAACAGGATTTAAAGCTCTATGAACAAATTCTTGACAAAGAGTAGGACTATTAAGCATACCTTGAGGGAGAACTTTCCATTGATATCTTTGAGTAGGCTGTCTATTATTATATTCAGGAACAGTAAAGGCAAATTTTTCACAATCTGGGGGTGATAATGGAATAGTAAAAAAACAATCTTTAAGATCTATGACCATTAATTTCCAATCCTGTGGGATGAGGGCTGGATTAGGAAGACCAGGTTGTAAAGTCCCCATAGGTTGAATACAGGCATTTACAGCTCTAAGATCAGTTAATAAGTGCCATTTTCCACTTTTCTTTTTAATGACAAACACAGGGGAATTCCATGCAGAAGTACTTGGTTCAATATGCCCCTCGGCCAATTGTTCCTTAACTAAATTCTTTAAAGCCTCAAGTTTTTCTTTAGATAATGGCCACTGTTCCACCCAA